CCCACTCTATAGACCTAACCTAGCCTGTGGGTCACTCTGGAAAACTCCCAACCCTGCCCCAAAGCCCATGGAGTGGAAGACGTTTCACTGTGCATTAATCACATTTCAAAATCATGAGTTTTACATAGAAGAATCCCGCAATTACCTCTGATTGGTGCTCAGAGATGACAACAGCAATTTCCAGGGTGGGGGTGACGTTCACCATGTCACTTGGTCTCATCCAAACCAGGAACGGACCCAGGTGGGACCTTCCCTTCTGCAGCCTCCACTTCAACGGATGTGTTAAAGGACAGGCAGTCTCCTCGGACTGTACGGGATAGACAGGCGGGAGGGAGGAAGTGCTTTTTTGGATCTGATCCTGCTTTATTTACACACACATACAGTTGGAAGAGGGAGTATGGTGGGACTGATCAGATCCCAGGGGCCTTCTGACCATGGTGAACACCATGCCATATAAACTGGCTTTTCATCTGCCAGTGCCCTGGCAGGATTTGAGCATTTAAGGGGGAAGTGGGGAGGGGAGGAATGAATCATATATTGGTTGGTTGAAAATATTCCCCCCCTTTCTTCTTGAAAAGGACCCAAGGCAGCTTACAACAATAAAAGATAAAGCTGAAAACAACAGTGGTTAACATCCTAATAAATTAGGAGGCACCTTTCATCATTAACAGAAAATATTAAGGCAAAGATCAGTAAGTATACAATTTTAAAAAAATGCTCTGAGAAGTTGGAAACATAAAAATCGAAAACACTAATAGTACAGTGGTGCCTCGCAAAAAATGCTCTGAGAAATTGGAAACATAAAAATTGAAAACACTAATAGTACAGTGGTGCCTCGCTTAATGAGCGCACCATATAACGAATTCGCATAGCGATCTCTTTTTTGAGATCGCTAATGCGATCGCATACCAATGGCCTCTATGACCAAAACTCGCATTGCGAAGATTGGTAAGCGTTTCGCTTACCGATCTTTGCATTGCGATGCCAGGAAATCAGCTGTTCGGCAGTTCCAAAATGGATGCCGGATGCCCCAAAATGGCCACCGCAACCATTTTTGCGCCCTGCCCTCACTTACTGAGGGCGCGAAAATGGCAGCGCTATGAGGAAGCTTCGCTTAACGGTGAGTTTAGGAGCGATTGGAACACATTAAACTAGGTTTAATGCATTCGTATGGCATTTTCCGTCCCGTTTAGTGATGTTTCCCCATAGTGATGGTTAATCCGGAATGGATTAACCTTGCTATGCGGGGCACCACTGTACTAACAATGTGATTGAGGAAGGACCAGATCCACCATTAAAAAGATGCCCCCAAGTCCCATCCTGGAGAAAAACACCCAGAAGGACACCGTAGGGGATGGTATCGAATGCTCAGGAGAGGCCCAACAGAACCAAAAGGGGGCACACAGACACTCCCCTTGTCCAGATCCCAGGCGAGGTTGTCCACCAAAGGGGACCAAAGCCGGCGTCTCTGTCCTCTAACCAGGCCTGAAATGGCCAGATTGAAAGGGATCCAGGTAATCTGTCTCCTGCAGGAACTGCTGGAGCTGAGAAACCACCACACGCTTGTCAAGAGTGGCGCAGTTTTTAGCAGCGTCTGTTGCCAAAGCTCCTTGTTCCAGTCGCAGCAGTCAAGAAAATCAGGCAGAGACGACAATATGGAAAAATATGTACAGCAGCAACCCTATGACAACTGTGAGGCATGAGCCAAGAGAAGAAATCACTACACAGTGTCTCTCTATATTCTGACCATTCAGTTGTCAGAGATGATTACATCATCTTCACCCTAAAGAGGTGTATTCCAGTCTCCTTGTCAGGCATCCCTGCTGACACTTTGTACCTGATCTCTGTGCTTCGTGTTCATGGCTGTAAAATTCAGGTTCCATTTTATTTGGCATATTTTATATAACCTTGCCCAGGAGTTGGAATCTTGGAGACGGGCCTCTTGTTGTCTAATAGACTGGGATCCCAGGAGGGCTTCATGGTCTTCTTCCTGCCTCCTCAAAAGCAAATGGGGATGCTGCCCTCCCTGCAAAGAGGCCTTCACCAATTCCTATACCCACTCGGCCATTTCTCCCTCCAGCTGCTTTCCTAAGCCAGGAAGTGCCAGGATTCGGCACGCATCGGACGAATTCATTCAGCTCTCCAGGAATCCTGTTCATAATATTCGGCTGACACACCTGAAAAGCGACCATGAAAACTGGATGAGCAGGGGCCAGGATGGTGTCCACCAGACTTGCCTCAATGCCAGCAAGGTCTACCTGGCAGGGATGTGCATGCAATGCCTTGAAAAGACCTCTGGTTGATGGGTTCCGTGGCAGGAAGGCCCTCACCCTTTTCTGGGTCTTCCCCTCCTTTTCAGAAGCCTCTTTTGCTTTTTACTCCCGCCTCGTTGGGGGAGGGCAGGCCCCCTGCAGTGTAGGGTTGCCAGACGTCCCATCTTTTGTATCCACACCCCCTGCAGCCGAACCTCAAACTGTAAGCCACTTCTCCCTCCTTCCTTGGTTGTTCTTTTAGAGATTGGAGATGAGATGCCTTGATTGTTTACAGCTGTAGAACGGCTGGGGCAGTCAATCCAGATTATGATGACTACTTCTGCCAGAGGTGACTGCAAGTAGGAGGAGGGAAACCTCCAATTAGGAGGGAAAGCTCCAATTAAGGCAGGAAGAAAGGTGCGAGAGAGGGATGGGTAACTTCATCAAGCTTGTTTAAAGGTAAGATTGTAGAAAATTTAGGGAGGAAGGTACAGTATGTGTATGTGTGAGAGAGACTGACTTTAATAAAACCATGAAAAAAGGATGTGACTGCAAGGGAGAGAAGGCTCCAATTAAGGTGGGAAGTAAGGTGCAAGAGAGGAACCAGGTGGGCTCCTGAAGCTTGTTTAAATATATGTAGAAAATTGAGGGAGGAAGGGTGTGTGTATGAGAAAGACTGAATCAAAATGATGAAAATAGGAATTGATGCAAGCAGGAGGGAAGGCCGGTCTGGAGTTCTGGGGGGGCAGCGGTTGCCAGGATAAAGGAGGCACTTTTATCCCCCCCTTCTGCCCTGACGCCACACACCTCTGACTCTGGGGCATGTGCAGAGTGTGTTTCCAGGTCCAGGAGCCAGAAACATGTGCAGAGTTATCCCCCATGCTTGTGGGAGCTGGAAATTCACACACACTCAAGCGGATTTTTCTCTGTCAGGTTAGATGCATTTTTATCAAGTCGTGGTTGTTTTCTTTCTCTTCTTAAATTTACAATTTTAATCAGATGTCATCTGGAACAACAGGCAAAACATCACCTCCCAGGTTGAATATTTGCAGCTGTGACCTCCTCCTTCCCTATTTCACTTGGCTTGTTTCTTAGATTAGAGGGTTTGGAGTCAGGTAGTTGCAAGTTATCTTTTCTCTTCTGCTCCTCCTCCAAAAGCCTACCGGTTATACCCAATACTGTCAGGTCAGCTTGTGGAAGAACCCCTATATTTGATACAAATTGGTCATATGTTTTGTCTAGTGAAGAGAGAATTATGAAAGCTTCCTGTAGCTTTGTAAAGGTTATATTGTTCTCTCTTAAGTCCATTATCATTGTTTTCATTAGCTCTAAATGTTGTAACATACTCCCACCAGTTTAATCTGGTACAAAATAGCCTTCTTGCAATTTGGATTTGGCTTCCAATGCTGACTCTTACAAAGAGTCCCCTTAGATCCTCCCATGCCTGCTTTGCAGAAGTTTGGCCTCTAAGATGGAGATGGTCTTCTAGAGTCAACCCAATTATTGCAAGTGCTTTAGAATTCTGTTTCTTTTTTCTTTCATTCAGCACAGCTGATGGATTCTCAACGATGTCCCACCATGATGAAGACGCCAAGCACCAAATCAGTGTTGATAGCAAAAAAGTTGTATTATTTACAGGATATATACACACATATAAAGCTTAGTCCTTGTTTTCCAGTCACAAAGTCATGCATAGCAGTTTCCACAGTGTTCAATGCGCAAATCAGAGCCAAAGTCCAGTAAATTAGTTCAGGAATCATATACCATACGTCCGTCCAGTTAGCCAGAGTTCCTCTTCAATATCCAGCACAAAGACATGGCTTCCTCCAGGATTCTCCAGCACAGCAAGATAACAACAGCACTCCACAACCACAGCAACAACCCACAGAGTGTGTGTGCTTGGTCTGCTAGCTTTATCCCAGGGATAGCCAATACTGGGATTGCTCTCACAGCTGCTTACAATCACCTCAGATGTATAAACTCTTGTCTTGCTTCTCTTTACATCACTGATCCTTACAAATACTTATTTCTTGGTGCAAAACTGCATTTAACAATTCCATCAGGTTTAGTCCAAACCTTTAACATGGTATCTCTCTTCTCATGATTGTACAGCAGCAGCTTGCCCATGTTGTGCTGAAGAGACTCCAGGTGCTTGCAGACAGAGTCAATCCAGAATCACAGTGTGAGTGCTTTGATGTAAACTGGTTTCTCCCCAATGTGAGTTCTTTGATGTGAACTCAGGTGAACTCTCTGACTAAAGCTCTTTCCACATTCCATGCATGTATATGGTTTCTCCCCTGTGTGAATTCTTAGATGTGAACTAAGGTGACTGCTGCACCTGAAGTTCTTTCCACATTCTATGCATTTATATGGTTTCTCCCCAGTATGAGTTCTTTGATGGGAACTCAGGGTACTGCTCTGACTGAAGCACTTTCCACATTCCATGCATTTATATGGTTTCTCCCCTGTGTGCGTTCTTTGATGGGTACGAAGGCTATTGCTATCAGCAAAGCTCATTCCACATTCCATGCATTTATATGGATTCTCCCCAGTGTGAATTCTTTGATGAGAACTCAGGTGATACTGGGAACTGAAGCTCGTTCCACATTTCATGCATTTATATGGTTTCTCCCCAGTGTGAGTTCTTTCATGTTTACAAAGGCTACTGCTATCACTGAAGCTCTTTCCACATTCCATGCATGTATATGGTTTCTCCCCTGTGTGAATTCTTAGATGTGAACTAAGTTGACTGCTCTGACTGAAGCTCTTCCCACATTCCATGCATTTATATGGTTTCTCCCCTGTGTGCATTCTTTGATGGGTACAAAGGCTACTGCTATTAGCAAAGCTCATTCCACATTTCATGCATTTATATGGTTTCTCCCCAGTGTGAATACTTTGATGGGAACTAAGGTTACTGCTGTGACTGAAGCTCTTCCCACGATCCATGCATTTATATGATTTTTCCCCAGTGTGAGTTCTTTGATGTGAACTCAGGTTAACTTTCTGACTGAAGCTCTTTCCACATTCCATGCATGTATATGGTTTCTCCCCTGTGTGAATTCTTAGATGTAAACTAAGGTGACAGCTGCGCCTGAAACTCTTTCCACATTCTATACATTTATATGGTTTCTCCCCACTGTGAGTTTTTTGATGTGAACTAAGGTTAAAGCTGTGACTGAAGCTCTTTCCACATTCCATGCATGTATATGGTTTCTCCCCTGTGTGAATTTGTAGATGTGAACTTAGGTGACTGGTGCGCCTGAAGCTCTTTCCACATTCCATGCATCTATATGGTTTCTCCCCACTGTGAGTTCTTTGATGTGAACTCAGTTGAACTCTCTGACTAAAGCTCTTTCCACATTCCATGCATTCATATGGTTTCTCCCCTGTGTGCGTTCTTTGATGGGAATTCAGGTGAATTCTCTGAGTGAAGCTCTTTCCACATTCCATGCATTTATATGGTTTCACCCCAGTGTGAGTTCTTTGATGGATACTGAGGACACTGCTGTGACTGAAGCTCTTTCCACATTCTATGCATTTATATGGTTTCTCCCCTGTGTGAATTCTTAGATGTGAACTAAGGTTAAAGCTGTGACTGAAGCACTTTCCACATTCCATGCATTCATATGGTTTCTCCCCTGTGTGCGTTCTTTGATGGGAATTCAGGTAACTGACACCACTGAAGCACTTCCCACATTCCATGCATTTGTATGGTTTCTCCCCTGTGTGCAGTCTTTGATGGGATCTGAGGTTACTGCTCTTACTGAAGCTTTTCCCACACTGTAGGCATTTCTCGCCTCTCAGGGGTTTGTCACATGAAGTACAATCACTGTGCATCGTGATGCTCTTGCCTTTTTCTATGCATGGACTTCGTTTCTTCTCTAGGTGGACTGTGTCAAGTCTTTTGATATCTGAGGCACCCTTGAATGTTTATCTGCCCAGGGAAACCTTTGTCCTTTATTTTGATTTTTTCAGTTGATCAGAAGTGTATCAAATTCCATAGCAGGAGAAGCTGGAGTTTTCTTTATCTCTTTTTTTCCTGGCTCCCATTCTCCCCTTTTCCTCCTTTTAAGTGTGTAGGATTTTTTTGGTGCTCCACACTTGGGTTTTGTTTTCAATGAAAGAATGACTGGCTCCATAGAATTCCCGTTGTCCTCTTCATCACCTTATAGAGAAAAAAAAGAGATAAAAGAGGAGTGCAATGTAAAAAAATATCTTACTTGTTTAGAGAAGTAAAATACTCAAATATCAAGCTCAGACCGAGCACAAAATTGGATACCTACAAACTAAGAAATACATCCAGAGAAATTCAGGTTCCAGAACAAAGAGATGGCCCCACAGCCACTTCCATAAGGAAGATAACAGCCAAAAATCCTAGCTATGACCTGTACAGATACAGGACTGAAGCATCATTTACAACAGATCACCTTCCAAAACCAAATCAGACAGCAGAGGAAAGGAAACGCAGATCAATGTTGCAACCTTTCCAAACAATATCCCAATTAACAAGCCTCGTGATCTTACAAGCAAAATCAAAAACCAGAGTAATCAGGTGAAAATGCTCTCAAGGCTGAGGTATCTTTCAAAAGGTATTATATCCTCCAGGAAAAAATAGAATATACCATCCATACAAAGAGAAGATACATCCAGCCTGCTCGATTGGAACTATTTCTGACTCCACCTCTGAGTGGCATATGGGCAATAGATATGCCCCTTTAGTAGCTTATCCCGAGAACTGACTATTGGAAGGCAAAAAATATAAACATTTGAAGAAGCCTTTATCCTGGAATATTGCGTGGCGGAAAAACAAAAAGTCCAAATCCACAAAGATACCACAGTTCCAAATGCAACAATGACTACCTACCTGGGTAGAGCTGAAAGATATTCCTTTTGCAGAGAGACACAAAGAAATCAAAACAACAAAGACTGGGCCCGTAAAGATTCTCCTTTTCCCACACCAGCTGCTCCCCTCACCTACAGAGGATGTCAGTCATCAGATGTATCCCTGCATGCTGGAGAAGCTAAAGTTATACAAGGAAGGGAGCCCCCTTAAAATGCTCTCTGCCACAAGAGGGGAAATGACCCCAAAGGCAGAACAACTGAACATTCAGGAGCGAAATGAGGCACCAGACACTCAAGAATCGCGGTGTGCTCCAGAAAGCAACCAAACATCTGCATCTAAAATTGAACTTTTATCATGGAATGTGTGACAGGGTTTGGACAAACCTGAAATTGTTAAATGTGGTTTAAGAGCAAAGACAGCAAGTAATTGTAAGGATCACTGTTATAGAGTGAAGCTAAGCTAGAGTGAAAACAGCTGTGTAAGCTGTATACCAGCAGGATGAACACACCTGGATTGGCTAACTCTGGTATATAGCTGGAGACCTAGAACACAACATTGTGGGTTGTTGTGTGGGTTGTTGATGGGTCGTCAATGAGTTATTGCTGTGTTGCTGTGTTACTGTCATCGTGAAGTGCTGTGGTCCGTGGAGCTGAGCCAGGGAGTTCTAGAGGAAGCCGTGCTACGTGCTTGGAGAGTGGAACTCTGGCTGAACGGACTGACTATCTGGTATATGACTATTTAATGGACTGTAACACTGATTTAAAGTTCTGTGACTATGGAATTGCCGTGTGTTGAACAAGGACTGAAGCTGTAAATATCTGTAAATATTCTGCATAAAAACAAGTTATTCTGCTACAAGAGTGTTTGCTGCCTGTGTCTGCACTACACTGGGGACTCTGCTGGTAATCACCACCTGGGAAAAATCCTGGGGAAAATTCCGCCAACTCTGTCAATGTGGCAGGTTGGACCAGATGTATCTCGCAAACCCATGATAGTCCTTTCTTTCGTAGCAAATATGACATCATTCTTTTGCAAGAAACTTGGTCTGACAAAGATATAATACTAGATGGTTTCAACTCTTTCATGGTAACCGCAACCCCAGGGCGCGGACCAGGGAGACTGAAGGGGGGGCTGAGCATCCTGGTATCAACGGCTCTGAAAGTGAAATCTACGATGAACCCCCCCCCCGAGACAGCTGGCCGATGTGGGGAAAATGTATGCTGTTATGCTGTTACAATGTATATGTCTGTGGCAGTAGCAAATGTATATATCTATGGCAATGGTAGGTCTCATGCTAAAACTGCAAGTCACTAGCTTCCAGTAACATGATTCATTAACCTGCTGTTTACCTATCTCTGGATAATGTAGTTAAAGTGTCTACTCTGTTTGTGTATTCAGGAACTTGTCTAACCTGTCTGTGTATTTGGATGTTATCTGTGTCTGTTTACTATTAGCTGTCTGTTTACCAGCCTGTCTGTTTATTCTGGCTGTGTACTCAGGAAATTAAATGCCTCTGTTTAAAATAGTATTGATTAACTAGTATTAAAAATAGTAAACTAGTATTAAAATAGTATTGATTGTCCTGCTTGGGGTATGAAGCATATGTATTAATCTCTCAGTCCTCTGTGGTTCATGCTGATGCCAAAGTTGATGAAGTCCTGGATCAAGCAGACTATTTGTATGAGAGTGGGGAAACCGAAAAGCTTTTTCAGTTGCTGGAGCAACACAAAAACAGGTATGTTACTGTAGCAGGCCCTGGTCAGAAGAAGTGGAGGCTTAATTCTTTCTATGGGTTCTCCTAGGCTCTTAATTCTCTTGGTGTAGTCATGTTGGGCTCTTTATCTGGTGGTGCTCAATATTTAATAGCAGCAGAACAAGGTAAAAACAAAGTGAGTTTCTGAATTCACCTAGGAAAGTGAACAGACCAAGACTGTGTGTAATCTCAATAGTAAGTTTTTTGGAGGGTATAGTTTTTATAGATTTAACTATAGCAGAAGAAAATTTTTAATTCTGTAAACATCCTCAGTTATCCTTTCAACAGCTCTGTAGAGTAAGTCAGTTTTATTCCTTTACTGCAGAAATTAGTTAGGAATGAACTGTCCCACAAAATTAGCTTGCCTAAGAAGAATCCTGGTGTACTGGAGTAAAGATTTAGTTTAGTCTTTATTCCTACAACAGTCTAATCTGCTGCAGCCAGCAAGGCCACAACCAGAACAAGAGTGCAGTAGTCTTCTCCAGTGTTCTCTCTCTCTTTCTTTCTTTCTCTCTCTCTCTCTCTCACACACACACACACACACACACACACATTTAGAGGTATATTACTTTTGAATGTGGAAGCTTCATTTAGCTGCAACTAACAGATAATCAGCTGTGCAAAGGGTTAAAATTTCATCACTCTTCTCTCTCTTTCCTCCTCCCCTTTCTCACTGGGTGCTCCT